CGGGCACCATCAGCTTTCTTCACCACATTTGCTTATTCACCCGCTTTTTCTTCAGTGGTTGTGTCGGGAGGGTGAGCATCATAGAATGCCAATTTTAATAGAAGAAAGTATTCTTGCAATTAGGGAGTACTTGAGTGGATCTCTACATTTTCATCACCCTACCCTTAAGAGTTTTCTTATGAAAACAAAATTGTATTTGTGCCTCCATCTTGCGTTATGGTTTCAAGTGTTGCAAAAGCAAGTCCAGACCAGTAAATCTGGACCCTTACTAGTATTTCTTGTCCTATCACAATATCCTCCGGTCCACTCCATCTCTTATTTTAAAAAAGAAAACAAACTACCATCAAATTGATTCTGACTCAGTTTCCTAGACTATAAATCTTTACAGCAGCAGAAATCCTCTTTCTCTCAAGGAGCAGCTAGTGGGTTTGAGCCGTTGCACTTGTGGTTAGGAGTACAACACTCATCCTACAGTGCTATGAGGTCTGCTTCAAGTTCTCAAAAACCAAACTCATGACCATCGAGTTGATGCCAACTCATTATTGGCCCTATAGGGCAGGGTAGAACTGCCCCCTTGAGTTTCTAAGGCTGTGACTGTTTACAAGAGTAGAAAGTGCCATCTTTCTCCCGTGGGCTGCTGATGGTTTTCAAACTGCCAGCATTGCAGATTACAGCCCAACATGTAACCATCAGGGCTCCGTTCATTTCTTCATGGCTTCGCATAATCTATCTCCTTTTAGGATACTTATTTATTCCTCTCTATTAACCCCCACTTGCTGAAATCTTATTTCCCAAGGGCTAGACTCAGATCAAATGTCATTCCCTTTGTAACACCTTGTACATAAACACTCTTTTGTTTCCTTCAAATTTTACCCATTTATAGCACTAGCACTCCCATAGTATAATTTGTCATTGTAACCCAATGATAGTGTAAGATAGTCTTCAAAAGGTAAAGACTGTGCCTTATTCACTATTGAAGCACTCGATTATATTTTTGTAAATGAATCTTTTCCTCATTTAGGATTTAGCAAAAGAATGTGATGGGGTTTTTACTGTTGCTAACAGTAATGTATATATCACTTAAAATATAACAGATCCCTGAACATATACAAAGAACCATTTTTAATAGCAAATAAAAAACAAGATGCTAAGTGAAAGAAATTCATCATAAAAGACCACAAATTACTTAATTGCACCTATATGAAACGGTTTGTCCAGAATAGACAAATTTAAGAGACAATAGGTGAATTAATGGTTCCTTTGGGTGGTGGGTGGAGCAAGATGAGAGAGATGAGAAGTGACTGTTATAAAAGACAAAACAAATGCACTGGCATGGAGTCAACTTGGACTCATGATAATCCAATGTTGTAGAGTAGACCTGTGCTCCATAGTTTTCAAGGCTGTGAACCTTTCAGAAAAATAACCAGGCTTTTCTTCCAAGTTACTTGTGAGTAAGTTCAAACTACCAATCTTTTGGTTAGTAGACAAGTGCTTAACTTTTTGTGCCATCCACAGACTTACAAGTGACTGTTAATTGGCACACTATTCCTTTTGTAGGTGGTAAAAGTTTTCTAAAAATAGACAGTAAAGATGGTTGGAAGTTTTGGCAAAGTAGTTAAGAAAAATTAAATTGTATACTTCAAATGGATGAGACTTAATGATGGATACATTTTATTTCAATAAAACTGTTAGAAACAAAGAAATAAAAGTACAAGTTCAAGATTATTAGGCTGAAAACAAATACCCAACTGGAAGAAAATGGATTAATAAAGGGGCATGTTCACACACCAGCATTCCAGGTCCAAGTGAGAGTATAGTCAATCAGTGAGATGGATAGTTAGTCACACATGAGCCAAAAAACAAGTTACAGAAGAACACATTCAGTATATAATTTCTTTAATATAAGAAATAATATTAGATAATGATCAGGGTTAGAGAAATACCAAAAACAAAGAAAAGCAAGGACACAATGAACACCAATTCAGGATGTTGAGTATCTCTGAGAGGGAGCACAAAGAACGTGATTGAGCTTCAAGTTATACTAATACTTGGAGAAAAACATATCAAAAAGGTTTTAAGGACAAAATTTTTTTAAAAGCTATTACACTGGGATTATATGCTGTGAATCAATTAAAAGGGGCTTGACCAGAAATACTAAGTGGGATAAGTGGTAAGGTAAGCAGGATGATCAATTCTTAGCAAGTGGAGGAAGGATACTATGTAGGTTAATTTGATGGCTATTGAACAAAAATAAATTCTATGAAGGCAAGAAGCTCTGCCTCCTCATCTTACCTCTACACACTAAAGTCTGCATAGCACTTTCTCCTGTACCAAGCAATTACCACATGAGAAGAATACAAAACCCACATTCGCTGTTTTCCAGAAGAGACCAGATAGTAAATATTTCTGACTTATGGCCAAATGACCTCTTTTGAAAAAACTCAACTCTGTTCGTAGAACAAAAATAGCCACAAACAACACATACATGCATGAATATGGCTGTGTTCCAATAAAACTTGACAAAACCAGAAGGCTGAATACAGGCTAACCGAGCACCTCAAAGGCACATTGCAGCTTTTTAACGGGTGTTGAGTGTAACCAAATAAGAATTTCTACTACCTAGGAAAAATTATAATGAAAGGCACAGGATGGGAGGGTCCTAATTTTGAGAAGTTCGCTATGAAGTGCATTTGTTAACACACCATACTACAGTTGAAAAAACGGAAGCATTTGGTTGAAGTAATTTTCCCAAAGCCAGGGAGATATCTAATGGAGAACTGTATGAGCCATGCAGTATTTAATGATCCAAAAGGAGATCAAATAGAATCATGAAAAGTATACAATTCAAAAGAACAGATTAAATGAAATATTTTCCACTTTGAAAAATAGCCTGGTCGTTTAATTATTTTGTAAAGTAATCTACCATGTAATCTAAACATTGTACTCCTACCTATGATAATAGACCATATACACATAAAAACCTGCACATGAATGTTTGCAAAAACTGGAAACCCACATGGTCCATCAATCTGTGAATAGATAAAATAGGGTACAAGTAGTCCCCACATCAAAAATGAGTTCTGTTCCTAAATCCATCCTTTAAGTCAAATTAACATGTAAGTTGAAGCAAGTATAATTTATATCTACCATCATCAATTAGTCAAATATTTACCTTAAAGTCAATGAAACACTTCCAGGAGCACTAAAATGCCTTTAACATAATAATACAATAACGGCATCACAAAGTAGCACCTGCTTATTATTAGGAACCATTGTACTTACCTCAAAATTTTAATGAAATAGGCTTTATGGGAGTCGATTTGTAAATAAGGGTTGAACAAAAACCAGACCTTTATAACTTGTAGGGCTGACTGTACTACAGTCTAGTGGGATTTATCTCGGGATGCAAGAGCAGTACAACTTTAGAAAATGAATTAATATGGGGATTCAAAAAGTTTGTGAAAAAATTCCATTATCTTTCAATTCAATTTTTCCACAAACTTTTTAGAGTCCTTTATATATTAAACCACACTCATATAATACAGAAAAATAATCACATGATCACCTAAATGGACACAGAGAATGCAATGTAACAAAATTCAATACGTTTTCGTGATAAGAACACTCAACAAGCTAGGAATTTTAGGAAAGTTCCCAA